TTGACAAAAAAAAGTTGATCATTTGTTTACAACTCTAAAGGGAAGGTTAAATTAATATAAACGGATCCCTCTGGCCTTTTTAAAAACTGATTGCATCCCAGTAAGTGACTTTTCTTCCTTCTTGTTTGATCATATTCCAGGATGAGCAGTACGATCACTTAGATGAAGCGGATGTGACCAAAGTGGACAAATTGAACAGTGAAGCAATGATCTGGATGAACAGCACCATGAACCAGCAGTCCAAGCAGAGCCAGGCTGCAGATCCCTTGGTCAAAGTTAAAGACATTCAAGCAAAAACGAGGGTGAGTCTTTGTGCTGTTAAATCATCACCTGTGAAACTTCAGCCTCTTTCTCACACACTTTGTTTTGGTTTCTAGGAATTGTTCTCCGCTTGTAACCCTATCGTGACCAAGCCCAAACCCAAAGTGGAGGTCCCCAAGGAGGAAACGCCCGCAGAGCAGAACGGTCCGGTTGGCGGCCAAGAGAAGGCGCCGGAGGAAACTACAGACAAGGGAGCCGCCGAGAACACAGGGAACCCAGCCTCAGAAACTACAGAGAACAAGCCTGACATGGACCTTGACTAAAACAGCCCAAACGCCTCCTGGAGCAAAGCTGAACAGGGGCCGATTAAGTCAGACTGAGATGCGGCCTGGCAGTGTTTATCAGAGCTGGTGACGTGTTTCAGGAACTGCACTTTGACAGTGAAATGCAGGCAGGGCGACGAGCACACAGAGCCCAGCTCCTGATGGCACATCTATCCGACATAGCATGCCCTCTCTCTTTTTGGATGACCTAAATCAAAAACCAGCTGCAATTAATCTGTTTGACAATGAGCGCTGTACACATGATGGTATTTATTTCTGTTGTGTGCCCTGTAACTGTTCTGTGTCACAACCTTGTTTTAATAAAGTGGTTGAAAATCTCTCGCAACATTAGCCCTGTCATAATTAAAAAGATATTTAAAACATGGCACATATACAAGTCTTTAGATTTTCTCCATTTCAAGTTTTGATTAGGAAATATTTCTAAGGAACAAAAAAAACATTATGGAAGCAATTTATTTTGAAATTGTAAAAAAAAAGAAACTGAGTCCTTTAATGCATCAACATATTGTTTGTTTAGGTTTTCGCTAGTAAAGAATAAAAGTAAAAACGTATTGCATAAAACAACGTAAGTTGTGGACTGGAAATAGATTTTACACTAAATGCATCACATGACCATTTCTGTAAAGGAAAGCTTTGTGTTAACACCTTTACGCTTTCTCTTCCCGATTTTTTTATTTTATTTTTTTTCCTGAGAAAAGATCAGTCAGGACCATCTCCATAAATAACACTTCATAATCTAATAACTGTGCAACGTGACGACAGATTTGGACAGAAATTGTAATTGTACTCAGACCAGAGAAACCGCTCGTGTTACAGATGGCTGCGTTTACCAGCAGGCTTGCTTCTTGAGAAAAGTCGGACCAAATACCAGTTAATGAAGCATTTTATACACACAGGCTTCCACATCGTTACATCGCACACATTTGTACAACGATGCCTCAATGGCCTCAGCCATATCACAATATTACACTGTGTTCCAGAAAAAGGCCATTCAGAATGCACGCAGAGTCCGCTGTTAAGAATTATCCACTCTATCTGTGTTTTCATTTCATTCCCAAACCTTTATGTACATAATAAAGAACAGAAGAGTCCTAATTAGATAAACTGCTTTGGAAAGCCTTATTAGGGTTTTAACAAGCATGAATCATAAAAATAATCCTAATATGCTTCAGAGAAATCAGAAACATGGTGATGGCAGAATAATGGTGTGGGAATATAATATAGCAGGGAAAGGGTTGATTAAAAATTTAGATTAAAAGCTTACAGAATATGGAAGGACTTCTTAGCAGATTGCCATAAATAAACTTGTATGTGTTAAAGATAATGTTCAAAAGTATATTGGTTAAAAGTAAGAGTTTGCAACAAACTAGATATAACTGGACTTTTAAATTTTGTCACAATGCTGTTGCAAGCAAAGAACAGGTTTTTGTTGGTGGATAAAGAAAAAATAAAAGTTTGGAAAAGCTTAATTAAAAAGGAAAGAATAACTTCTTTTTCTTTTTTCAAACTTGATCTTTTTAATATTTTAGAGATGTTATGTTTTCAAATTATTTCTAAGCTTCTCTTTTTCTGAACTTTTGAGAATTATTTCATGTGAAAAAAAAACCCGGAATATATCTATAGATATAGATATACAGACATATGAAAAAGTTTGGGCATCCCTATCAATCTTATTTATTTTTATTTCTAAAAGTCGGGTGTTTGCAACAGTTTGATATATCTAATAACTGACAGACACAGTAACATTTCAGTATTGTATTAAGGTTTATTGGACTAACAGATAATGTGCTATATGCATAAAAACAAAACTTCACAGGTGCGAAAATGTGGGTACCCTGATCATTTTATTGATTGAATACCCTGAACTAAATTTTAATGACTTACTGAAAAACAAAAATGGTTTGGTAACTTCATTAAGATTTGAACTTCAAAGTCAGGTGTATCCAATCATGAGAAAATGTATTTAAGGTGGCCAGTTGCAAGTTATTCTCCTGTTTAAATCTCCTCTGAGGATTCATCATGGGGACCTCAAAAAAACTCTTAAATGACCTGAAAACAAATATTGTTCAACATAGTTGTTCAGGGGAAGGATACAAAAACTTGTCTCAGATATTTAAACTGTGAGGAACATAGTAAGGAAATGGAAGACCACAGGGACAGTTCTTGTTAGCCCAGAAGTGGGAGGCCAAGAAAAGTATCAGAGAGACAGAGAAGAAGAATGGTGAGAATATTCAAGGACGACCCACAGACCACCTCCAAAGACCTGCAGCATCATCTTGCTGCAGATGGTGTCATTGTGCATCGTTCAACAATTCAGCGCTGTATGAGAGAATGATGTGACAGGAGCCTTATCTGCAAGCATGCCACAAACATATTCACTTGAGATATGCAAAAGAACATTTGGATAAGCCAGCTTTATTTTGGAATAAGGTCCTGTAGACTGATGAAACAAAGATTGAGTTGTTTGGTCATAAAAAAGGCGTTATGCATGGCGGTAAAAAAAAAACACAGCGTTCCAAGAAAAACACTTGGTACCCACTGTAAAATGTGGTGGAGGTCCCATCATGCTTTGGTGCCTGCATTGCAAATGCTGGCACTGTGAATCTTTTTAAAGTAGAGGTTCTCATGGATTCCACTCATAATAAGCAGATTCTTGAGAATAATGTTCAAGAACCAGCTATGAAGTTAAAGTTATGCTGGGGATGGATATTTCAGCAAGACAATGATCCAAAGCACCGTTTCATATCTACTCTAGAGGAACATTTCCAATGTTCATGAATGGCCATCCCAATCCCCAGACCTGAATATCATTGAACATCTGTGGGATGATCTGAAGCAGGCTGTCCATGCTCGGTGACCATCAAACTTAACTAAACTGGAATTGTTTTAGAAAGAAGAATGGTCAAAAATCCCTTTATCTAGGATCCAGGAACTCATTAAATATTTTTTCTTGTCAAATTATTGTTTAATACATGCTTTACATTTTCTGTTATTTCAATTAAACCTGAATTCAATGCTGAAATATTACTGTGTCCATCAGTTATTAGATATATCAAACCGAAATAGCTGTTGCAAACACCCAACTTATAGAAAAAAAAAATATTTAAGATTAATAGGGGTGCCCAAACTTTTTCATATGACAGTATATATATATATATATATATATATATATATATATATATATATATATATATATATATTTAAGCAATGGCTTAAAAACAGATTTATGTTTGCGGTTGTAACATGACAAAATATGAAATGGCTCCAGGGGTGTGAATACTTCTGTAGCTGTGTATATGTGTATAACGACAAGAATGTCTTTTATTTATTTATTTATTGACATAATATTTAACATAATATTTCAAAAATGCTGAAAAGCGAAGGTTGTAAATGTCGACGCTTCAGCTTTAAGAGGCTGCTTAGTCTGGAGGCTGTGGCAGGCAATTGTGACTAGGGAGACTGCTTTATTGCTATCTATAATAGAAATGTGACTAGTCAGCCTGCCTATTTTATGTTAAAACGGCGCCCTATTTCTTTTTTTGAATGTTAGTCAAAATATGTTTTTAATTATCTAAAACTAAATTTTAGAATGGCACTATTAAAATTGAGATATCTGAAATTCTAATTTAACTATTCATAAAATAAGTAGTTGATATCTGTAATTATATTTGTACAAGCATAAATATATTTTAGATGTAAAGAATTGTATTTCTAGATATCTGTAATGTTATATTCATTTTTGATATCCGAAATAGTAATTTTGACTAGCAGTAAGTCTATTATGGAGATCTAATTAGAATTTATCCTAGTCACAATTCATTTTAGATACACAGAATGTTATTTTAGATATCTGGAAGTAAAAGCCCAATACACATGAATGGGAAAAATGACGTCTTTTGAACTATTAAATGTAAAGTAACAATGTTTTTTTTTTTTTGTTTTTTTTTTTGATAGGAGGAATGTTTATATATCTGACATGTTTATTTTGACTAGGAAGAAATGCATTTGAGACATCCGGAATATATATTCAGTCAAGCTAATAAATGTCAAAATGGCCTGCCATAGACCAAACCGCTCCTCTCAGCAGGTCACATGATCCTTCCGGGCTCCCTTCGTTCTGGTTCTCCGGACTGACAGCTGAATACCGAGGTAAAATAGACCGTTTTCATTCTTAATAATGCATGTATGGATAATAACAACACCTATTTTCCATTTACTGTTATTAATTGGAATTATTGGTCCGATCCAATAATTCCCACTCCTTTAAATATTTAATTTGAATGAAGCAGCATGCTGTTGAATGATGGGATTTTCTTGATGAGTCTAAAGTCTGATTTAGGAGTGTTTGCAGAGCTGCAACCTATTCCCACTGTGGCTGTTTTGTCCACCAGCACGATGAAGCTGATCATACTGAATGACTACGACCAGGCAAGCGAGTGGGCTGCCAAGTACATCAGAAACAAGATACTGAACTTCCAACCTGGACCCAATAAGTTCTTCACATTAGGACTCCCCACAGGTAGGAGGAAGGAAGCAGTCTTTGTTTTCCTTATTAAAGTCCAAATATTCAAGTTTTATATTGGTCAGAGTGATGTTGCCTCTGAGTCATTTAAAAAGTTTTTTGGTAAATTTACATCAAAATGCAATAATGGATAAAAATAATAATAAAAAAAATATTTTCCATTGGACAAAAAGTATAGAGAAACAACTATGCACATTATTTGTTTAGTCAACAGACCTGGAAATTTGTTAAAAAACAAACAAACATAAAAATGTGTATTGATGTAAACTCCGTATGTAATGGAAGGGCCGTTTTATTGAAAACGGATGTGATTAAACTTGTTAGGGCAGCTTGAGATCATTAAAAATCAATTAAATTCAAAACTCTTGAGTCTTTCCACTATTTTTTTACATTACAACCACAAACTCCACGTGTTTGTTGGGCTTTATGTAGTATTTCAACACAAAAAGCACATATTTCAAAAAGGGGAAGGTAAAATTATTGATAGTTAAAACAATCCCCTTAGTATGATGCTGCCACCACCATGCTTTGGACATGGGAATGCAGTGTTTAGGGCATAAAAAAGCTTTCTGCCAACGTGGTGTTTTGCATCTAGTTGATCACAGATGATAAACATAAACTTCTCTTGACTTTTCTGCTGTGATTTTTTTAGTCATGAGGCTGTTTATTTGTGCTTATCTAGAAAATCTCTGTCCCTCTGTGTTTTATACTGAGGTTAACTCCAGCTGGGCTGGAGGATTTTTTACTAATTAGATGGGCTCTAATGATGGTAGTTTGCTCTGGAATTTATTTAGGGTTATTGGAGTAAAGTGGGCCTAATGTAAAAGCCCACCGGTCTTTTCTGAGTTTTATTTATAAGGAAAAATGCAATCCTAAAACTGTATGTGTTTATCCCCTATCTTCAAGAGTCTTATCCTTATCTTATTTTACTCTTATCCTTATTTTATTTTTATGTCTTATTTTACACTTTTTATATGGGAAGGGTGTAATTATACTGTATGGGTTGTAATTTTACTTATTTTATTCTGTCTTATACTATATTTTATTTTGCTCTATATTACTTACAATCAATTTTTTCTGTCTTCTGTAAATCCTTGCTCTGCAAGAAAATAATTTCTTGCAAAGGAATAATAAAGTATTTCTGATTCTGATTCAAAATTAAGCACTATTTTGTCTTAAAGAAATTGAAATTTGTGGTTGTGACATAATGTTGGAAAGGAAAGAGCTTTAAATTATTATAGAAAATCCTGTTTATAAAGCAGACAGAAAAGGATGAAAAGCTAATGAACTAATGTCACTACGGCAAAAACAGCTTGATGAAGCCGATTGCAAAGTTTAAGGGACTAAGTTTTATTATATATCACATTTTTGCCTCAAGGACTGAAAAGTATCCAAACCTTTAAAAACATTAAGAATATGCCTTACTACTTTTCACTTTGTTAGTTTGATAAATTCTTCCCTCTCCTCAGGCAGCACTCCTTTAGGATGTTACAAGAAGCTGATTGAATACCACAAAAAAGGCGAAATCTCCTTTGAGTTTGTGAAAACCTTCAACATGGACGAATATGTCGGTAGGTGTTAGTTATCTCAGCTTTAGGGAATGCTTTGGGCGCGGTTTTCTCTTCATGAACTTGTGTTTTAGGACTTCCTAGAGATCACCCTGAGAGCTATCACTCCTTCATGTGGAACAATTTCTTCAAGCACATCGATATAAGAGCAGAGAACACCCACATTCTAGATGGAAATGCTGCCGACCTTGAAGCAGAGTGCAACTCCTTTGAGGAAAAGATAAAGCAGGCCGGAGGGATTGAGCTTTTTGTGGGAGGTCAGGAAAGAACCGCATTGATAGTAAAATACTCTCATCCCTTGTTTAATAGTGTAAGAAAGATCAAAATTAAACAAAGCTTCATGTATTGCAGGGATTGGACCTGATGGCCACATCGCTTTCAATGAGCCGGGTTCCAGCCTGGTTTCCAGAACCAGAGTGAAAACACTAGCGAAGGACACAATTATGGCTAACGCTAGATTCTTTGACGGAGATCTCTCAAAAGTGCCCACCATGGCGCTGACGGTGGGAGTTGGCACCGTCATGGATGCAAAAGAGGTTAGGAGCCCCTGTTTGAAGAACCTCTCAGTGGTTCTGTCAATGATCTGTGATTAAATCCTGTGATTCCAAACAATGCATTGATTTCCAATCTCTAAGGTCATGATTCTTATCACCGGAGCACACAAGGCGTTTGCTTTGTACAAAGCAATAGAGGAAGGCGTCAATCACATGTGGACGGTGTCTGCCTTCCAGCAGCACCCGCAGACTGTTTTTGTATGTGACGAAGATGCCACCCTGGAGCTGCGGGTCAAGACTGTGAAGTACTTCCAAGGTACGACTAAACCATATTGTACTTAGCCTGTCATGCATGAACTCTAGATTAGGGCCAATTACGGCTTTTGGTAGCACAGAAAACAGATTCGTTGAAATGTTTTTTTCCAAAATCTGCTGAATTGTATTTGTTTTTGCAGGGATGATGCATGTGCACAACAGACTGGTGGAAGCACCTACTTCACAACCGAAGAAGAACTGAAGAGACCTCTTATTAATAAGAAATGAGCCAAATATATGAAAATACACTCCAATCATTCCTCATCCTCTATCTCCATCTAGAGATAGTTGTGAACATTTACACTATTTCTATTGGTGCAGTGTAGGCTGTCAGGTTTTTATATTCGTTCATGCAGCCTCAAACTTTTTCTGTTTAATAAAAGGCTTGATTTACATATGTCTTGTGGCTTGGTTTTTCCATCTGCATATCACATGACGATATGGCTTGTGTTGCATTTCAGTGCTCCTCGGATATATCTGGTTCGGAGGAAAGAAAACTGTTAAATTCATTCAAAACACAAACTCTTTGATGACTTACAGTTTTAAAGATCTCGTCCTTTACTATTTTATGTACATAATTTTAAGCTTTTTTAGCCAAATGTTCAGAATCGTATCATAACGACGATCTTGGAGCTAACATTTCCGACAACCCATGAACGCAACGTCAGAACCAGTTTCTCGCTCTGAGAAGGAAGAGAGGAGATGGCCGACTAGGAGGAGGAAATCTCACAATTCTGCTTTATCGTCGGCAAGAGTCGTTTTATTCTGGATTATTATCACAGCCTGACATCAGAGGAGGAGGTTTAAATCGTTTAGTTCATCTTTCACGATGGCGGAACAAAACAGTAACGTCAGATACCAGGAGGTAGGTAACAGGTTGCTGGCTTTGCTAAAGCGATGCTAACAGTTAGCTGTCAGAGAGCCAAACAAGAAGCTCAAGCGAACGAGCGTTTGTTTACGGGCGGAGGCCCAATGTGACGCTACATAGTCTGTCAGTATGTAAGACAACTACACCAGTTCAGACTGGATTATGTAACTATAACTGGACAATTGAGCTAGCTAGCTTGTTTTAAGCTAACACAAATTACTACTCTAACGTCTGATTTCCTGAACGTTAATGTAGTTCTGAGTGCAACGTTAACTTCAGGGGAACCTCATAATAAAGGAAACTTAGCTAATCTAATCGGATGATATTTATATGAGAAATTGAATACTTTTAGATCTAAAACACAAGTCAATGTGGACTTTATGTATAAAAACGGAAAATAAATAACTTCTTCTAGCTTAATATTCTCTGTAGGTAGTTTTATATTGGGCCGATCTGAGTTATAGTCGATCTAATCAGCTTTTTAGCTCTCATGTCTTCATTTAGAGCACTTGATCTATTATGCAGAATATAAATTTAGTGCTATCGTGACATTTTAGCCGACAGATCCACTCTATAAATGTTTATTTTAGCATGTATTTGCTACCTTTATCTTTTAGTTAGATTAATGCATGCTGCATTTCAACACTAGAACTAAGACAGCAGCTATTTTATCAATCAAATAAATTAGTAATAATTATTTCCCTGCATAGAGGATAAATCGGTTGATTTTATGATTGCAAACTGTGCTTGACAGATTATTTTTTTCTGAATTTGAACCATTTGAGGTTAAAGCTATGATAGCTTGGACATCTTGACAGATGTTGACAAAAAAAAAAATAAATAAAAAAAATAATATACCTATTTGGTTGTTCTTTTATCCTTATTTTAGTCAATATACTCAAGTTACCGATTAGCAAATGATCATCTCAGCAAAAAGTTAAACTGGTTAATTGTTTCAGACCTGACTAGATAAGTGTCTCTGGTAAAATGAGTATTAAAAGGTTCATGAGTTAATTATCTGTTTACCATATTGTTCCTGTAGATGCTTTCATATATTGGTTCAGTAAAAAAAAATGAAAAAAGAACAGAATCCAGGGAAATAAACCCAACAAACTGCTTTAGCATGTGTGTATAAGATCTGATCATCTGTACTATTTCTTGTTTTCACGACTTAAAAAAAACAAGACACACAACCAAGGGTTCTTGACTTTTCGGTTGATGCCCTGCATGTTGCAGTTTAACCATACATCCTGTTAGCAAAACGACAAAGGCTTATTATAACTTCTTTTTTAGTGATCACAATTTATGCCTTAAAACATCATGATTTAAAATCTTTTGGTGGTAAATAAATTCCTAGACAGTAGTTTTCAATATTTTGTTTTTGTTTCCTACTGTCACAAGTAATTTTTGGTTTGAAATGTTCCTCAAAATAAAAGAACCAGGAGGTGACATTGACTCATAACAAGACAATTTTCTTCTGTGGCTTAAAGTGAAGGATTATCTTTAGATGACTGTGATCAATATGACTGAATGAGAGGGAAAAATGCTTTTTACACTAAATATGATCACATTAGAAAGGAATAGCATGGTGGCATTTCCTTTCTCAGATTCTACAAAAAAAATAAATCCATTAGCATTATGGCTTGTTCTTTTAAGACTTAACTATTTATTCTTTTGAATCAACAGCTGGTGAATGAGGAGGAGCCGGCCCAGCCTTCCCAGGAGACCCCTGTGCCGGATGCACCACCACCCTACAGCAGCGTTGCTGCAGCTAATGCAGGTCAGAAAAGCCTTGATGTTGCCCTCTCAAACTCTCAGCCAACACCCTTTTTATTGTCTCAATCCTGTTGATGCCACTGTGTGATAACTCATCACATCAAACAAAAAAAAAACTGTCTTTACAAGCGAATAATGTCTATAATTTTTGCAAAGTGCTTAAAGCTCAACCATGACTCAAAGCTCTAAATTCAGCTACAAACTATTCTAATCTCGATTCTATAAATTTGTTAAAAAAACAATAATTATGTGAATGTTTCAAATAAAGAGGGAATATTTATTAGTTTAATGTAAATGTAGAAACAGGAGCATAGATGTAAGGCAGACTTAGAAATGTGAATGTAGTTTAGCATCTTCTTGACCCTAGATAATATATTTCAAAAGAAGAGGTAATTGCAGGCGACCTGGTTTCGCGTTTCTAATCTCGCATCTTAAGAGGGTAAAGGTCAACCAGTGTGTTTCATAAGTGGGTGCAGCCCAGGGTTCTTCCTGGATGAGTTCAATGATCTGAACTGGTGCAGTTAGTGTTTGAGCGGCACAAAGGAAGACGACTCCTGGATGAGAGCCAGGCGACCCAGATGAAAGTCTGAGGCTTTTATACGGGGAGAGCATATGAGCGTTAATGGAGGCGTCGGCTGCTAATGCTGCTCTTCCGGTGGTAAATCATTCCACCCAGGTCAGGGTTTTGAACAGTCAGCTGCTGCTTTCGTTTGTAGAGCGAAGTGAAAGCAGATTTGTGCGTGTGTCAGCAGCTAGTCCTTGAAAATCGCTGGTTTATCAGTAATTCTTCCTCTTCAGATGGATATTCTATTTTATAAAATATTTTCTTTGCCCTTCATCTACCGTCCAAACTATAAGTATAGAACAAAACAGCAGAATGCTGTTTTCACGTTAGCTTTACCATGACCTTAGTTCTAATTAAATAAACCTCTTATATTGTGAATGATGTCCCAAAACAAGATAATTTTTTAGGTTGCCTGGAATTTAGAAAAAAAAAATCTACAGACAGAATGGGCTCTGACTTCTAATCTAAAAACAATAAACACACCACGTTATAAAAAATAGAAATGTAGCCAGAACAATCTTCTCCCTGGGAAGATGGTACTGCTGCCGTAGCCATGGATTAATGATCCCCCAGCCAAGAATGGGAGTAAGCTAACAGAACCCCGGAGGAGGTTCCAAAAAGCTAACAGCGCAGACAGCAGCCATTCTATGCTCCCAAAGGTTGTTCCTCTTTCCTTCCTTTTCTCACAGGTTTCTGTCAGATCAGGGTCAGTTTATGGTTCTAGTAGATCATTCCTGCCAACAGCTGAGCTGGATCTTTTATACCTCTGCTGCTTTTGCAGTTCCTTTTTTCTTTCTTTCTTATAAATATATATTGTTTTCAGTGGTTTTAGGCCAATCCATGCACATTTTTGCACATTTTTTCCAAGACATCCTGCTAAATGTCAGACTTTTGTTAATCTTGCTATCTTTACAAATAATTACTGTAAAGTCTTCAAAGAAGTTGAGAATATATTTGTTGCCGCTGATCTATTAATTATGGATGGAGATCAGTAATGAATAAGTAAACCTTTATTACATTTATTTAATGTGATCAAGTTGTTGTTTATTATTTATCTCTGTATTTGGACTATTATATGACATGAACAGAGCCCATATTAGCAGGGACAGGTATCAGATTTCACACCAGCGCCTTTTTTTCTTCTTCATCACATGTACTCTGCTTTTCCCCTTCTTCCTTTAGCTGCTTTATGTGGCAGCATAACTGCGCCATCTACTGGTGGAACAGAAGTATTAAAGCTATTATAGCTCCTCTGCACGTGTTTCTTCTTTACAATGTATTTAGTTTGATTTGCCTTATGACATAAAATCTGTAACAATAAAAACATTAATATGGCTATGGTGACTTAATTTGTCTTTTTAAAGATGTTTTATTTATGTATGAGTACAGTTGTACATCTAATGCATTGGCAGAAGATTCAGAAAGCAAGAATAAATTTTAACGTTCTTTTTTTTTTTCTTCATAGCGTTCTTCGAATACAAGGAAGATGGAGGAAGATTCCCCAACCCGCCGTCGTACAACGTTGCCACGACTTTACCTTCCTATGATGAGGCTGAGAGAAGCAAAGCCGAGGCGGCCGTCCCCCTGGTCACCGGCAGAGTCTCCGTATGTCTCCTTTTCTCTATGGAATCTCAAGAGGAAAGCAGACGTAAGCAAAGAATGATAGGAACGGATTTGCTTCTGTTGTTGCAGGAAGACGATTTTGTGGCCAGAGATGACTTTGAGGACGCCGACCAGCTGCGGATAGGAAACGATGGGATCTTCATGCTCACTTTCTTCAGTAAGCTTAGAGTTTTCTTTTGGCAAACCGATGTAGACTGAGGAGGTACTGTTCTGTTTAATAAAGCGGGATTCATTAGATTGTGTGTGAGCAGATTTTTCCTCCTTCACATCCTTGATTTTAAAGATTGTTTTCTCACCAGTGGCATTCCTCTTCAACTGGATCGGTTTCTTTTTGTCGTTCTGTTTGACCACATCGGCGGCCGGGCGTTACGGAGCCATCTCTGGCTTCGGCCTGTCTCTCATCAAATGGGTCCTTATCGTCAGGGTAAGATGGCTGTCTTTATGATCGGCCATTTTAATACATTTTAGTTTAGCTAGCAGCTCCTTAACTCAGATAACTTCCTGTTTCTGCAGTTTTCCACCTATTTCCCGGGATATTTTGATGGACAGTACTGGTTGTGGTGGGTGTTCCTGGCTCTGGGTGAGTGAGATGGATTATTTATTTATTTTGGTTGTTGTAGTAGAAATGAATTTCATTTGAATAAAAGTTCAGATTCAGTGGTGATGATGGTTCATTTGTGGATTTCAGGTTTCCTGCTGTTTATCAGAGGCTTCGTTAACTACTCCAGAGTGCGCAAACTGGTTGATCCCACCTACGCCAACCTTCCCAGAACAAGGGTGCTTTTCATCTATTAGAGGTGTGTTGATTTACTGCAAATTTGCTGCCGTTACCTTCCTGGTTTGGATGGCAACTTTTTTTTTTTTATCACAGCAACTTAAGCCCCAATTACACTACCCTTTTGAAGCCGTGCAGAGATCAGTCCAAGCACGGTAACGGAGATAACTGTTGATTGTAATTGGCACGGAAAACTGAACCGGACGCATCAGACACAACCAAACTACGCTAAACTGATACTAGTTCAACATTAGGGCTCGGTACGGTTACGTTCTGGCACGGCTCTCAGATAACAGAGAGCACATGAGCAGATCGTGTCATCTCCTTACCGTCAGCCTCTTTAATCATGAAATTTCAGACATTCATAGAAATACTAGCTTCCCTATCTTGCCACATGACTTCCAGCGATGATTCTGCTTAGCAGTGTGATGAACCTCAACGTCTGTTGTTGTTTCCTGCGTCTGTAAACCCTGATTAGACTACTGTTTGTCGAATCCACTTCCCAAAAGCCGACTCTGTCAAGTAAATTCACCAAAGACTGCCTCCTTCACCTGACTCTCCTCAAACAACAAAATATCAAAGTTATACCCAAACTTTCTAAACGTTAGGGACGCTGCCATGTTGATTTGCTTGTTTACCTCTAGAGAGCAGTAGTACCGTAGATTGTCACTAGGAGGCGAGTAACCCTGCTAGCATGGCGTGTAAAGGTTGTGCTCGGCACAGTTAACTGATCCAAGCTCGGTCCGAACTTTGCACAGATCGGTTTTCAGAGGGTAGTGGAAATTGGGATTTAATTTCAGAAGCAATAAAATCTGCTGATGTTTATACTCAATAAAATAGGTTCCACAGTTACCTGCAGTCCTGCTGTTCAAACATTTCTCTGTTTTACCAGGTGATCTGATCTTTGTTATTTTATAAGGTGACAAAGAAAGGAGGGTTTTTAATCAGGGTAGCCATCAATGTGGCTGGAACTGTTAGCCATTTGCTGTTAGCCACCAATAAAACTTAGCACACAAACAGGTGTTTTATCCATGTGTTTAGTAGCCATTGCCATTTCCTTTCTCTTCTAATGGCAGGAGGAAAAAAGGTGGTGAAAGGAGTGAAAAGGTGTTTCAGAGTCACACGGAGAGACTTTAATCAGAAATTGGCCAGACGACCCCACCCTAAAGAGGACAACCTCAAGATGGTAACATATTCAGGAAATGTATCTATCGTGTTTTTCTTTTGTTAAGCATTTTAATAATGGACATGGTAAGCAGTAATAGTCCCTTTTAGGTATTCGTTAGTGGCTAATGTTAAGTGCTATTTACATCTGTCTGTAATGTAAGAGTATTGCCTTATATGATATCATTTGATGGAAGCATAAAAGCATGCATCTACTGCCAGCCCAATCTTTTATCATCCATGGACTGAACACAGCATGGCACAGCACCATTTATCAATCGCTGATATCAAAGGATCGGGTGAATGTTTGAGTTTTACTCAGTAGGCTTTAAATGTGCCGATCCTCGTTCAGCCACAAAGGGGCGGTGTTGTCCTCATATTTCCAGACATCTTCATGAGACGAAACCCAGAACCTGCTTGTAATTTGCAATCCAAACATACCAGAATGACCTCTGCTTGTCAGATATTTCCTAACGATCACTGTGGGGTAAATTATGTAAAATGATCTGAACCTGGAAGCAGAATTTAGCTTATCAAGACGCTGGGGGGGGAAAAACGCAGCCACTATTTTCACTTCAACCAAACAAAAGTGAATCTTTGAGCTGTTTCCTTGACAAGGCTGGATTTTTAAAAAGGGATCTGAGTCGGCTGATGGAAAAGCTCAAAGACGAATAAAAAGTTTGGATTTCATCTTTCAATGATTCAGTTCTCACAGCTGTATCTCATTAAAAAGCATAAAAATAGCTCAAATTCCTCCTCCAGGTGGGATCTAGCCTTTAGATTTAAATGACAACTGTTTTCTTCCCCAGCTTTAATTACTTGTTAGAAGTTGGTATTAATTATGTCAATAGGTTTATTTTATTTTCTGTAAATGTTGACAGAAGAACCCGGAGCATTCTTCCGTCTTTATACCCAGCCCACAGCGAACAGTTTGAATCATTAACTTCAGATTCTGCCATGGCTTTGATTACAAACCAGTTATGCTTGTTTCTATGTGATGTAGAACTGAAACCTTGGGGTCATGTTATGTAACTGTACAGAGATCATATAGTGTTAAATAAATGTCAATTTCAACGCGTCTTCTGAGTCATTTTCTGTAAGATTCTGAACACTTGAGGTTTTTTTTTTTAAGGTTTTTAATCTGCAGCTTTGTTATATCATATGAAGCAGCTGAAACAGATATGCTCCCAGTGTGATTCATGTTTCATTTACAGGAATCCTTTTGTAATTTTTCCCAGTCCTACAGAGCCCTGGTTCTCCTGCAGTTCGACATGAGCAGCTCAGAGAAGCTCAGCCTAAATGAAACGTGCATGTTAGATTTGTTAATAGCTCAAGTATTTAATGTTCTGTCAAGTTAGATTCTGAATATTAAAAAGAGCATTTTAAAAGGATTGTAATACAGGAAGTACATGCATTAAATACTTGGCTGTGGCTCCTTCGGTATGAATTACAGCATTGATTTCCTTGTTTCTTTTAATCATTGTCTTAATAATCCTCCATAGATTCTCTAAGGTTTATAGGAGAAGGAAGCAGGAATTTCTTTGCTGCTGCATAAAACATGCTAGACAACATGGGCGTGCAGGTGGCGCAGTGGTTAGCGCGGCCGACGCAGGTTCGAATCTGACCTGTGGTCCTTTGCCGTATGTCTCTCCACCTCTCTCGTGCCCACTTTCCTGTCAGCCTACTGTCGAAACAATGAGCTACTAGTGCTGTAAAAAAGCAACAAAAAAACATGCTAGACAACAACCAGCGGATGACCTTAAACAGCACATCTGTGCTGACTGGGAAGACTTGACACTGATACTAGCAGTTCACTGTAGTGCTGTGATAGTTTTTTCCAGATTAAACAAAAGCAGCAATATAGCCCTTTCCTTTTTTCACAGCCCTGAAATAACGTCCAGGTTGTGGGTTCTGGTCAAGGCGCAGCGGAAAAGAGAATAGTCTTTGGTCATGTCTTGATCTGTAACCCCCTCCTCCTAAAGACTTGAAAAAATTTTTTTTCTCCCTGTCACTACCTAATCCGTCCTGGGAGCAGGATCTGAACTATCTGCTCATTTGTGCATGCACAGTCAGATATACACGTGGGTTTCCATAAATAATGTAATTATGGTAATACAATTACATATTTCGATCCTCACCTCTCTAAAGAATAGTAATACATCTTTAAAAAATGTTATGACTTTTTCTGGGGGTGCATATTACAAACAGCCTCACCTGGACTAAACACCACCTCACTGGTTAAAAGGGCACAGACGCGCATGTACTTCCTGTTCATATACTTCAGTTTATATAGAGTCAATTCACAACACATCTCAAGGCACTTTACAGCCCTCCAGATCATACAGTCTAATTAATTCAAAGTTTTCTATCTAAGGAAAACCAGTTGATTGCATCGACTCATTGACCCTCACACTAAGCATGATGGTAGCGACAGTGGAGAGGGAAAACTCCTTTTAACAGGAAGAAACCTCCAGCAGAACCAGGCTCAGTGTGAGTCGCTAAAACTGGAAGTTGGTTTCATAGGAGAGGAGCCTGATGATGAAAAGACCTGCCTCCCATTCTACTTTTAGAAATTCTAGGAACCACTAGTGGTAAGAAAGGGGATGAGGAGAGCTCACCTGTCCCCTCATGACCTTTTACAGAAGCACCATGGAGAGCGTTCTGACCAGCTGTCTCACTGTGTGGTATGGGAGCTAGAGCGCCGCAGACTGGAAGACGGTGAGAAGAGTAATGACAACTGCAGATGGGATCATCAGGGCTCCTCTTCCCTCCATTAAAGACATTTCATTCCAGCGCTGCGTGTCCTGGGCCCTTAACATCAATGACCCCTCACACCTTCAATATGGACTGTTCTCCCTGCTGCCCTCTGGGAAGAGGCTTCCCAGCATTCAATGCAGGACCAGCAGATTTCAAAATGGCTTCTTCCCCACTGCCATCAGACTGTTCAATGATTTTAAGGCATTTTTGTTCTCAGGGAAAAAAAAAAAATCATGAAACCTTTAACACAATTTCGTACACTTACTATTTTTGGTGAGGGAAAGAAAGTTAATTAGGTCTTTTTTTTTTTTTACAAAATAAAATCAAAGTAGACCTTGACTTATATATTGCTTCACATGCGCAAATGAGCTGGTGGTATGGATTGTGCTTCCGGGACGGATCGGGCACTTTTTTTCCTTCCACTCAACTTTCAAATAACCAGCTTCTTTTGGGGGTTTTCCCGCTTTGCGGAGGATTTCAAAGACTTTTGAGTCTTCCTTCTTTGTGTGACGGCGAAAGAAAAATCCTTTTTATTAATTGGTTTTCTCTGGTATTTAAAGTTTTGAGGGGAAATGGGTTTGGTTTTCAATGAACTATATGTTAGCTACTAACTAAAACTAGCTCGGATGTGTTACTTGACAGTAAAGAAGGTGAAAGATGCTGCACTTTTGCACTGATGCAGCTTCATGCCTATGAGCAAACCATCCTGCAGCCCCCTCCCCTTCATCCAATCTCATCAGACAGGTTAATGGCTTAGATGCCTCGGCCTCTTTAATCCTGGGAAACTTCCAGCTGTCTGGGAATGAAGAAGATGGCCTTCTGTCCGATGTGGGTCCTCGGACCCAGTTTGGTTCTGCCGTTTTTCTTCAAGCCGACGTACCAGCTGCTGTCCTGGTATCTCTGAGACTGATATGTGTTGTAGTGATTCTCCTCCAGCTTCTCCAGGAAGAAGCACTCATCGGTTACTGTGGGCTAAAAGAAGATAAAACGTTTAAAGAAGGATCTCTGCTGAATAATTTGACAACCAACTGATGTAAAACAGGATCTGGTGCAGATACTCACTGAGGCATACAGACGTCCTTCAGCACTCATGGCCAGGTATCGCTCTGCTGCTGTTCCCTGGATAACGACCACGCCTCTGTCCACAGCTTGGAGCTTCACCACAGCTGAAAGGGGAAGAAGCTCAATAGTCAGACCTATAGGAGCTGGTTTCTATGGTGAAGGCTACCTTCATCACTGAATTTACCAAACTAATTCATTAACTTTTAACCTTTCATCACTTTAGAGCTTCAGTTACTGATTTAAGCAGTCATATTTATGGTATTTAAACGCAACATTTTCATTGATCTAAGAATAAAAGGGCATAGAGCAAGATATTTAATGTTGAAATCTTCACCACTGTAGCTGCTATTAAATCACCAGAGACAGATACAGGTGTTTTTATTTAAGCCGATACCAACACCAATTATTAGTCTAACTGATTCCTGATCCATGCTGCTGCCGTTTGGGGCCAATTCTTACAGCCAATAATGCTTTTTCTTTCTCCATTAAATGACAAAAACAGGGTTGTCAAAGATATTGGTACTCTAAAGGCCAGAATACGACCGAATATGATTTTGCGTCCGATCCAGAAGAATGGGTCTGACTGGAAAGGAGATGCGGTTACAAAGTAAAACACACCCGCTTTGGGGGAAAATATAAAATAAAATCTGTTAATCGCACAGGGAAAGAGTCAGTTTAGGAGTCGCACATCGTGTTTATTGTAAGCAGGGCAGAGTCGTCCAAAAACAATAAATGAAACATTAAAAAATAATAATTTACCCATGATAGGAGTTCAAAAGGACAAAAAAGGATAAAGTAGTGATACTCTTAGAGCTTCACAGAAAACAAAATCACAAGGGGCAAACAAAGCAGGTAAGTGCGGCGTCTCTCACCTCTTTATGAAGAAAAAAGAAAAACTTGGATAAACTTCTTAGA